TTTAGCATTTGTTGCCCTGCAGCACAAGTTCAGACATTCCAAGCACCCCCTTTACTATGGTGTATTGCTATGGCATACACATCAACACTCAAGTAATCCCTGCAGCATATTCTCCTGGTCCAGAACATAAAATGCCTTGCTCATTCAGAGGGACAGGTACATTCAGAGGCATATGCCTAAATTCCTTTTTGAGCCAAGTCATTTCCAAGATGTGCTCTGACAACTAACACTCCCCTACCTCAATCCCCAGCAGATATGGGAACTCCAAGGTCAGGGACACATGTTCTCAAAACCTCCCAGAGCAAGAATCTCTGCCACTGTAATGCAATTGAAACAGACTGGAACCAAGTCACTTTATTGTATTGCAAGGTGTTACACAACACAAGAAAACAAAGAGTGATTTTCAGTACAGAGTATGAGAAGGTTATCTAAATAAAAGAAAAAAAGATGCATGCACTGCTGAGCAGCAAGATAGGAGTCCTACTAAAACCCACAGGGTGGCTGAACTTGAGGCTTCAGCTCTCGTTGTCACTGTCCCCCAGGGTGTGCTTGTCAAAGAGGTACTCCGCCATCCCATACTTTGGTGCCCCCATCTTCCGGAGGTTGGTCACATGGTCACCAAGCTCTTTAATAGACTTCACTTGCTCATCCAAGTAGTGGGTCTCAATGAAGTCACACAACTGAAAGGGGAAATGAAAAGTTATTTCTCCATCCAGGGAAAAAGACAACTTACCTCAACAAAGGTCAAACTCTGCAGTTCTAGGATTTCTCAGCTTAAAAGAAAAAGGGGGAAAAAAGAAGTCTTTTCCCTTATAAAGAACCACGAAGAGTGACTAAATAGAAATACATCCCCACCTCCTGCAACAGGATTATGCCCAATTACCAAAAGGGGAAGAAGCCTTTAGTGCTTTTAGCATAACAAAAACTTCAAGAGAAGCTTGGTTCTCCAACTTATCAAGGCCTACCCCCATTTCCAGGCCCCATACTATAATTTTTTTTATTTTTTTTTTTATTTTTTTTTTAATCACAAGTAATTCCATGCAGTCTTTCATTATTGCTGAAAACAATGTTAGTGTCCTATTATTTTTGAGAATCCCTTTGTATAGCATTGTAATGCCTAGTCTTTGGTATTTTTACCTTTGAACTACAAAAGCCATTTTAAACTGCCTTTAGTTAGTTATGTAAACTGAGAGTCTTTATTCATTCCTTCTCCAATCTTATTACTCTTTGAATTTCTAGAAGTACAACTCCAGAGAGTCATTTGTGTGTCTGCATCAAATCCATGCAACACTTCTATCCATTCCCACTCAAGTCCTGGTTCCAACTTTTAGAAAACACTCCATTTCTTGATGATCCTCCCTGAACAAGCAGGTCAAATCAGGAGTCACAACTATTTTAAGAACACCACAGTGCTAGCAGGAGATTGAAGCCCCAAACCGTAAAACACCATGAAAAACAGGAAGCTTCTTAGAAGCAGCTTTCTGCTTCAGAATAAGGATAAAAACAAGACTGTCCACAAATATCAAACAAGCTATTGATTAGAACTAAGCTTACCCATTCCAGATGGGTAGTCAAGGGTATGCTCTCAGCTCCAGAACAAGTCAGTTAACTCAATACAATGCTTGAATGAAGGGTTGTATCAGGTGTGGTAGTGCATGACAGTCCTGCACAATCTGTATGTACACACCATGCATTTTTCCACAGTAACCTTCCCCCCACCCCACCACCTAATTAACTTTTTTCCAGGAGGTGAGTAGCTGCATTGTGTTAACTCTAGGCCAGGGGTTCTCAATCCCTGGGCTGCAGCCTGGTGCTGGGCCATGGCAGGTCGGATGCCAGACTGGAAGTGGCCGCAGACCAGCAAACTGCAGCCCCCCAGAGCTGAGCGGAGAAGCTGTGGCAGCACAGAGTTTGCCCCCCGCCCAGGGGGTGGGGGTATCCTTATCTGTCTGCCAGCCGGAAAGTCCGGCCACGGTCGGCTGTGACTGCTGGGTTGCGGTTTGCCAGGCTGTGGCATAAAAACTTTGGGAACCCCTGCCCAAGGCAAAGCAGTAAGATACTTGCTGCTTTCTTCAGATACCAGGCCATGGGGCCAAAGACTGTGCGCGACTGTACCCTTCTAGACCTCCTTTTTAAAAAGCATCACCATATTCTACCCATGTTTCAACTTCCACTTACATGAGGGTCATTCTTCTCAGTTGCCAGCTTGTGCAGCTCCAAGAGTGACTGGTTCACATTCTTTTCCAGATGCAAGGCACACTCCATTGCTGTCAATCCATTCTCCCAGTCATCACGGTCTGGTTTCTATGAGGAAAGCACAAGACCTCAACTAATCTTCTAGAGACCAAAACACAGGAGCAGTAGGTCAATGAGACAAAGCAATCTTTGTTCTTAGTCATGCTGAAACCCTGATTTGATAGGATCTCAGCTTGAAAGTTACTTTTGAAGTTTAAAAGCCACCTTAGAAGATAGTAAGAGTTGATAGCGCTTGTGTGGAGAAGGCATTTGAGAATCCACGTGCTTCTTAAAAATAGACCACCATATTCCAGCACATACTCCATAGAGAACACTTGGTTACTAGAAATACTCATCTATCCAGGTTTTTGGTTTTTTGGGTTTGGGGTTTTTTTTGGGGGGGGTGGGGGGGGGGAAGGCATTGTTTTGCTTGTTTTTAAGTATTCATTAGTATTAGTATTCATCACCTTTTAACATCAGATCACCATACCAAAAGCTATCCTTTTAGGAAGTGCTGATAGTCCAATGGGAAAGACTAATACGATATGGACAGCTCTATCAACTTTACTGAAAGAGTCAGTGGTTTTATTCTTTCTTCAGGTACTGATGGATTCTCTAAACATAGAAACCTCAACACTTGACACGTTGAAATGTCATCACTTGGGCAAGAAACATAGGCTAGAAGAGCAAGACTGAATGAAGTGTTATGAGGGAAGACTCACCAGCACCCTAAGTGTTACAGGGTCTTCAACTAGAAGTCACTGATCTGAGTCAAGAGTAACTCCAGAATGAGTATAAAAAGGAAGAGATGAGTACCCAGAACCTGGTATGGGGATTGAGCTGGGAACCTGGCTCCCACATTTAATTCAGGAACCAGTGAAGTTCACATGGTTACTGCTGTTCTCAAAAAAACCTAAGAACATATACTCATGAACAGCCCAATTTAAGAGCATGTGGTACAGAAGGGATGGTCTATCTGTAGCATATATGCCACAAGTGGCATAAACAGCCTCTGTGTGGCACACAGCATATTGGGGAGGGGCGCTGGCAGCACAGTGGCAGATAAGGCAAGACGCAGAAAGCAGCAGATCAGACAAAGGAATGGGATCAAAATGGAATATGGCAGGTATGTCCCTCACCCTGCCTGTCTAAGAAGGTTGGTTCCCACTGTGGTACAGAAATAGGGGGCAGGGAGAAGGGACTAAGAGGAAATGCATGAAAATAAGATGGATAGAAAACTATGCACCTGCTTTTTATAGCAGTATTCTCTTGTATCTGTCATTTTTGCTTTGACATTAGATACTTCCACAATAAGGAAGAACTTGGAACATTGCAGTGTGTCAGAATCACAACACATGGCAGCTCAGGTTGATTATCTATACTGGCTGAAGGTCTGTTCAGTACCAGCTCCCAGCTCAGCTACTCCTACGGGATCCTGTGGTGAAGGCACAGCATGCCATTGGAACCACCATCATAATTTCCATGTTTCCATGGTAACCATGGATCTAAAAAGAACATCACATCACTGCAACACAAAGCACAAGCTGGGCTGAGGGAATGCCCCTGTGTAAACATCACAAAACAGACCAGCAGAAAAATTTAGACAGCTGCTTGTTTAGTGCAACTCCAGCCCTATATACACATCTCATCCTTTCTTTACAATGCACACCAGCATTAGAGTGGCCATCAAGTCAGTGCTGTTCACCAGTCCCTCACTTACTGTCATGACAGTCTGCACCGACTTAGAAACTCCTTCCCTTCCAGCCTGGGCCTAGCTTTAGAAGACAGAGGTTGGCCGCAGGTCCAATGTCCTTGAGGTGCATTTGCAATGCTGCTCACCTTGATGTCATGCAGGAAGATGCGACCACCCCGCTGATTCTGCAGTTTCATCAGTTTCTCAGCGTGTTCACGCTCTTCGTGCGACTGGTGCAGGAAATACTTGGCAAAGTTTTTCAGAGCCACATCATCACGGTCAAAATAGTAAGACTGAAAACAAAATTAAGATACTATAGTAAAGACTTTGGCCAACAAGTCTCACAGCTATAAGGAGCAAATCTGCTACAAACCCAGATATTCTCAGTATTGCCCTAACTATACAGTAGCTAGACCAATGGAGAAGCAGCTGGCATGATGGCGAGAGTTTACTGGTAGGAGAGCTTGTAGTAAATTTGCCATTTAACCAACCGACAATGGCTATTAACTGCCCTCTCAAGATTGGTGGGACAGCTCCCACCACGAGCTCAGCTATTCTACTACCCAATACCAGATATTAAGTAGCTCACTATGCCTCTTTCTCATGCTGTGACCAAAGTCTAGACATAACCATAGCTTAGATTTCCAAGACTGAAATGGGTATTCTTCACCTGAGCAACACTTCACAAATTATAGAATCATAGAAAACTAGGGTTGGAAGGGACCATGGGAGGTCACATCCAGTCCAACCCCTGCTCAAAGCAGGAGCATTCCCAACTAGATCATCCCAGCCAAGGCTTTGTCTAGCCGGGTCTTAAAAACCTCCAAGGATAGAGACTCCACAACCTCTCTGGGTAGTCTGTTGTAGTGCTTTACTGACCTCCCGGTGAGAAAGCTTTTCCTAATATCTAACCTAAATTTCCCTTTATGCAACTTGAAACTGTTGCTCCCTGTCCCTGTTCCATCATCTGCCACCACTCAGAACAGTCTAGCTCAGTGGTTTTCAACTCCATGGTCCATGGACACCTGGGGGTTTGTAAACTTGTCTAAGGGATTTGCAAAAGATGATTATGATCAATCGAAAGTATACAAATACCCATACTTACAATTCAAAGGGGCCTGTACCACCATTACAGTTTTTAGGGGGTCACAAATGGGGGGGGAGGAAAAAAAGAAAGGTTGAGAACTACTGGTTTAGCTTCAACCTCCCTGCAAGTAGTCAGAGGCTACTAAATCCCCTCAGTCTTCTCCAGGGTGCCTCAGCCTCTCCCAATATGATGCTGGAAGACCAACTGCAGCAGGGAGACAGTGCCGTGTTCATGTTCCCCATCTTACTTGCCCACCCAACACCAACACTCAGACTGGCTGTCTAGAGAGCAATGCTACGCCAAACACCGGTGAAGAGGGCGATTTTGACAGTTCTGGGGCCAACGTCGCTTTGCTGAGCCTAGCTTCAGAAGGTAAAGTGCGAGGCACGCCCCTGCATGTGCTGGGAGAGAAGATGTCTGCCAACCAAGGCACTACCCAAGGCTGCACCACGGGGAATGCGCTTGGCAAGTCAGGAGCCCGGGGGAGGGGCCGCAGCAGCGAATCCCGCTCTGAACAAGCCCTGATGCCTGGAGCTGGCACAAGGATGCACCCCTGCTCTTCCACACCAAGGCTCAGAGCCCCCCCACCCCCGGCCTTGTTACCCACAAGGCAGAGCCCAGCTGGAGCATTGCAGTTGGCGCCCAACAGCCCCCGGATGCGCTGCACTAAGTGCAGGGGAGCCGCAGCCCGGGAGCAGCAGGCC